ACATAGGGACAGGCACAGACCAGAGCCCCCCAGCTGCACCCATGGAGCTCAAAAAGGAGCTGCCATACTAACTTACATCTTCTGCAGTGCTTAAAAATCAGTATTTAAGAACATCAAAACATAAAGAAGAATTCTAGTAATATCTAACAGTTGAGTTTGAGGTTCTCCCATGGACTGTTTCCTACCACCTGTGCCAATGGAGATCATTACCAGACTTTTTTCCAGCAAGATGACCAGATCAGCTGTACCCTAAACTCAGCTACATGCACGCAAAGATTTTTATCTGGAAAACAAGATGTATTTTAGCAGGTTACAATTTTTTATTTTTCTTTACTTATCAACACACACTTTCTAACACGGAGGGCCTTTGAGAAATTAATTTCCATCTGAAAACAAACAAGGGCTGAAACAGTTTACAAAGGAACCCATCTTTCAAGGACATTTCCTTTTAAATTGCACAATGTGGCTCTTAGCAAGGAAAATAAATAAAACTTAATCCCTCTGCATTCCAGCTGGCATTTTTTCCCCAAGCTAGAAGTGAACAATCAATTTAAAGAAAACTCAGACTATGGCCAATTAAGGAACTCTATATCATTTCATTTATAAATACCAGATATCTATTCAATTGATTATTTTGATCCAATTAAGCTGGTTTTACATTTTAAATTCTTAAGAATTAAATCATTTATCCATGTCACAGTCCTAGGCCTTTCACATCTGTTGCTGCAAAATTCTGCAGACCGTCTGCTCTTTGGCCGTGGTATAAGTCGAGAGTGTTTCAGCTACCAGATTTATTTAAGGATGTGGATTGTAAGCCTCCAGGAAATGGCAACCACTGAGAAAATTTGTGTCTAATTACTCGTAACACAAAGAAATCTTTTCTTTTTCTTTCCCTTTTTTTTTTTTTAATTTGGGTGTTGTTAGGCATATAAATTGTTTTTCTCTTTAATTGTATTTTCTCTTCAACCAGGATGGTCACCTTTAGGTTTGTGTGTGTGCCAGGTCTCTGAGCATTGTTTAATAAGCTGTCGGCATCCAGCCCCTGCTTCTTCCCTTCCAAACCCCCCCTTTTCCTCCCAACTCCATCATCTTCATCCTGGTCATCTCTGTCACTGAAAAGGAGAAGACAGAACTCTCTGGAGAGCAACCTATGGACTTTTTGGGAAGTTGTAGAGAGTTCACCAAGTTTAGCAAGCAACATTTTTCTCTGAAAGCCTTGGTTTTCAAGAGAATAAGCAATGCCTTTGAGCCACAGAATACATTTGCTGAGTGGTTTATCAACTGAATCATAACTTCTTTTATGAAAAGAGATGGAATTTCCCTGGCCAGAGTCTCCAGCTGGCACTCAGCATTCCCAGGCACAGCTGAACTGCACCAAGGAGAGAAGTCACCACACTTCTAGCCTGGGACTCCAGCAGGATACCAGGAAGTAAAATAGCCATAGTTAAAAGAAATAGGTACTGTCAAAAAGAAAATTGGCATCTTCAGGGTGTGGGGCTGTGAATTGTGATCCTTAATGTGATTGCACATGCATATCACAAAAATGGGGACCAGTCAATTATTAAATTCAGTATTGTAACACTAAGAAAAATGGAGTTTAAAGTTGCATTTACTGACAATTTTAGGCAAGAAAAGCCAAGGAGATTAGTAGGAAAACGTATTTGTCAATTCTTTCCCACAAATGTTTTTGTGGGGCAACATCACAGGCAAGACTTAGAATGAGCAATCCTGACTTGGCTAATACACAACAGCTCCAGGCACTGCAGAGACTGAAAAGCTGAAAAATTAAAGGGCTCTTCGTGCAAACTCAACATGTGGGAGGGAAAATAGAGCACCAATCTCCCTGGTTGTCTCCACTGCCCTCCTCGGAGCAGCATAAACCCGCAGTGGTCCACGGATTGTTCCTACCCAGTGATCACCATGACATCCTGCCAGCTCCAAACCATGCAGGCTTCCTGCCCTTTGCTATCCCGACCCAAACAAAATCCACTAACACCAGATTCACTTTCATTTGGCTACTTTCATTCTGAATCCTACCCAGCAACATAACAGGCTTCAAACAGACAGTTGTCCCCAGGAGTGGGGTGTTTTTCTAGACACCATGTCAACATTCTTGTATTTGTATCTTATTTGCCAAGGATAATTTGAATTTTGAACCAACTGAACTCAAAATCCTTGTAGAGTTTGTTCTGAAACATTCAGATAGCTTAAGCCCAAAATTTTGCCTATATTAGAAAACTATTGAGGTAGCTTACAAATTGAATTTAATCAGGAAAACGGGGAAGAGATTTTCCCATGCTGGAAAACCTTGTGCATTTCAAGAACTCTCAGCCTTGGCACAAAATTAGGTGTTTCACTAGGAACAAGCAAGGAAATAGATTCCCCTCTTGCAAAACTTCCAAAACCCAAAGGAGCTGAGAGCAATGCAGTTCAAAACCAGGCTTTCGATTCAAACTCCTCACCACAGACTTGTTTGCCCATGGAGTCTTCTCACCTTGTGTAAATGCATTTCCCTGAGCCCAGAGCAATGGGTTCTATGAATCAGCAGCACTGGGATACCACATAGGACTGACTAGACACACACCACCACATCATGTGATCAGCGCCTTATTTCCAACAAAAAACCAACCAGCCATAAAATTCCCAACTGTTCCCATTATATCACCTAGCTGGAAGCATCTTTTTGAGTCCAAATGTTCATCAATCACACCACCATCATGAGTCCACATGAAAATGATTTCAAGCCTCAGCCTACAGTTACACCCTGATCATAAACACTCAAAAAGCATTTTTTTCCTATTTACTCATGCACAGCTGCAGAGAAAATCAACTCAAAGCAGCATCTAAGAGGGAGTTCTGTACCAGACAGAGCTCAAAGGTCAGGAGTGTTCACCCACATGCTCTACAGGGCACCAAAACAGACTGTTCATTTCATTCCTTACCTCCCTGCTCCCCCAGAGCAGCCTTCCCCCCTTTTTCTCCTGTCCCTCTTCAAGTTTATTTCTTCTGCAAGTTCTTAGTTGGCCTCAGTTCTGGCAGTTCTCACTTCATCCCTGAACTTCCTGACCCACCAGATATGGCCTGCTTGGCTTATCAGTATTTATTTCCCACCCACCCCCATCCCTCACAGACGTATTTTTAAGTTCCTTCCAGAGCTAGCTGTCCCCAGCTAGCTACCTAGTTTTCAGAATATGGTATTCTGCCAGCATTTTTGAGTTGTTGAAAACCAAAAATGAAGCAAACCCAAAAACATACACATCACCTCCCTTGAACTTTCTAGTCCAGCAGATTTTACTGACAAGTTTGCTCTGCCTCGTGCATCCTGCAGCAGTGGACACACTACACCTCATTCTGCTCTTACAATTCTTTGTAAACATGTTGGCATCTAAGGAAGGGAACTTCCATCTTTGAAGGAAAGGCCTGATCCTATGAACCCTGCAAGCCTCTCTCCCCTTTGTCTTTAAAATATCATATTTTTTTTCAGTAAAATCAGTGCATCAGAGCTGTTTTCATCCCATCATGCCCTCTTGCCAGGATGTAGGACTCTTGAGATTGTCTGAGCCACCACATTGTCGAGCACCTTCTCCAGCACAGAACAGTTGCTTCTGGTTCACTCCACTGGGAATACTGCAGCATCATTTCTAAAAGACAGCATGTACCTTCCTGGTCTGTCAGGCTCCTTTCCAGCGCCACATCCACATTTCCTACCTGCAGTCTTGGCAGACAGTGTGGTTGTTGAACCCACTGTGGGCCTGTTGATTCCTAACGAGCAGCTTCCAGACTGTTGCTGTAAATCCATAGTCCCTTCCTATAGCTTTTGCATTACCAGTTAGCTATGAATAATTCAGGTTATAAATTAAAAGGTTAATTGCCAAAAGATCAGCCAGGCTGAGAAACAGCTTCTTGGCATAAGCACTGAAGGCAAACCTTGGGGTTTTGTTACTTTTTCAGCACCACCTCCTGTATTCATGAAAAAAAATGATGTGAGAGTGTGGGATAGGAATGAGCTGGTGTTGATGACCCCTCTGACTCCTTTCTGCACTACAGACCTCATGTGATACCACAGGTGAGCACAAGTTCCTCTCCCTTCCCTGCATTCACCCCAATATCTGTGCAGCAGACATGACCCTCCAACCTCCCTTCCACAAGGCTGACCAAGCCTGGCTGTTCTCACCTCTTCACAGTAACCTGCTCCTTACCATGGAAGTGAGGAGATCTTACACAAAGGAAAAGTTTCCCAACACTCATGTCACAAGCTTCTGGGATTATTTTTTCACATCCAGGGATGGCAAGCAGAGTTTAGCAGAGTATCCCTCTTAAACATAATCTGTGAATTGAGGGAAAGTCTCTGTTCCACCATACTAAGGAGCATTCCATAACAGTGTTGCCCAGAAAATCCCCATTTCCTGCCTTGGCAGACTTTTAAGTGTGGTTAGAATGGAAACAGCCTAAATTAATGTAGATTGAAAGTTTGGACACATACAAAACACCCCTCTGAGAAAGATTCAATTCCACAGAAATGCGGGCATGGAAGAGCAGGACCCAGACCAGAGACTGAAAGGAGTGAAAAGATGAGTTCATGAAAAATATTCTCAACAGTTTTCTTTTTCCCCTCCCCAAACACACCAAGCTGTTAATAAAGGCTTTGGAATGATCAATGAACCACACGGTAAATCCAAATTTCTGATTAATATGTAAAAAAACCCAAAGTGGAACTGACATTTCCATCCTGTCAGGTGAGAAGGAAACAGCCCCTTGTTTGGGGCTAAGTAGCAGCAGGCACAGCCTCCAGGAGCAAACATGCCTTCGTTGGCCAAGATCTGCTGGCAGGAACCAGCGGAGTCCAGGAGCTACCACCAGGACACACAGCACTGAAACAGAAATGGGGGAGAACACAGGCATAGGGAGTTTCACTGATCTCCAAGGGGGACAAAGGGCTACTACTGCAAAACAACCTCTCAACTCATGGAATTTCAGTGCAAGAATCACATAACCAGGTGTAAAAATCTTCAAATGTAATTTATTAAGACATTCAGCTATGTCTGTCAGTCTACATCCAAATTTACTACTAAAAATAAAATAGTATCACATTTCACATTAGGAATACCGACTTTGAAAAACACTTGAGTCAAGCCTATCGTATAAATAAGTGACTAATTTCTCTTCATATCAAAATTCACATAAAAAAATTGCCTGCCCCCTACTCCCACCTATTTCCCCACCCCAGTCCCTTGTTCTACTTGAAGCCATGATGAATGTAAAAATTTAAGTATGGACATGTCCTTGTCAAAGAAAAAAAGGTGCAAACCTATTAACAGCTTTAAAAGTGGCATTTGCGGAGTCTGATCATACACAATAATGTACTCATTCCCAAAGTGCAAATATCGCCAGAGTTTAATACTGTTTTAATTCAGCTGCAAGGATTAAACATTACACAGCACAGTATAGCAAGGCTTCTCTCCATGCCCTAAAACTCATCCCACTTTCCTCCTTGCACATGGCAGCAGAGGTCAAAGTGTTCATTAGAGCTTTAGTTTACTTCATGCAGCCCAGACTGTGCCCATTATTAGCAAAAGTTTCATATACATCAAAATACTGACGACTCCGTCATAAAAGTCAAGAGTCACTATAGATTACATGAATTCAAATGCAACTGCCCCAAGAACACCCAAAGCATACACACGACGTATTAGGAGTGCTTCCATCTTCTCGTACAATCACTGCTGTTACATCTTTGATTTTTGCTTACGTGCCATAAAAAAACGTCAGCAACCAAAGCTGCACATCAGTCAGAGACTGGCAACTCACGGCCTTTAACACCCCTCAGGACCCTGGGACACGGCTGTATGCAACCCCTCTTCCTGACCAAAACCAAGCCAGCGTTCTGTCTGTCTGGCTACAACCTCTCACAGACCTTTCGCTTCTCTTACCCCTCACCTACATCTTGAAAACACTCTTTTTCACTGCTATTTATTTCCAGACATCCTTCCTATGCCCACAGTTCAGAGAGCTTCTGGAGTCATTTCTACTACATCTCACTGGAGTTACTGCTACCAAGCAGCCCATAAAATTCAGCATGGGAGATTACATTTTGACCAGCAATAATAGCTACACTTCTTTCACAGCTGTGGAAGGACTGGTTTTCTTCTGAGTCAAACGTGGATCTCTGAAATGTAGCCTCAGAGCTGGACACAAACCCTTAGATCTCGAGCAGACCATCCCTCCTGGGTTGCAATTAGTTCTGCAGCACAAGCTGCTCCCTGGGTGGCCTCACAGGGGCTTTTGTCACTGTCCATGCTGTGAGACCCCCCTGGATGGGCAGAGGCCTCCAGGTTGTCGTGTCCATCGGCAGCCTGGCCCTTGTCCCTGCTCGGGTTGTCTTTCACACCTGGCCTATCGTCACATTCAGCACCAGGCGGCTCAGCTGCGTCTCCAGGCCTGGTGTTTTGCTCTGCAGGAGGATTTGGCTGTTGCACTGGCTCTGGTCCCAGTCCTGGTAGCTGTGAAGGGCTCTTCAGCTGGCAGTGGCACAGAGGGCAGGTTTCTTGCACGTACAGCCATTTCTTAAGACAACCCGCATGAAAAAAATGGCTACATGGTGTGATTACAGCAGTTTTCATATCCTGAAAGACACAAAGAAAGATCTTATTATTTATAACCCATTCCTCTCCTCTTGCCCCACACATCTAACGGGTCCACCAGGCATGGAGGAGACAGAAGCAGTCCACAGCCAAGCAAGAGAAGGTTCCTTCCTTCATACCAACAAGCCTCCATATGAGGAGCAGCCTGGAGAAAAGGAGGCTCAGAGGGGACCTTCTTGCTCTCTACAACTCCCTGACAGGAGGTTGTAGCCAGGTGGGGGTCGGGCTCTTCTCCCAGGTAACAAGCAACAGAAGAAGACATGGGCTCAAGTTGTTCCAGGGGAGGTTCAGATTGGACATCAGGATGAATTTCTTCACTCAAAGGGTTGTCAGGCATTGGAAGGGGCTGCCCAAGGAGGTGATGGAGTCATTATCCCTGGAAGTGTTCAAGGCATGACTGGATGTCGCACTCAGTGCCATGGTCTAGTTGATAAGGTGGGGATCTGTCAAAGGTTGGACTCTATGGTCTTGGAGGTCTTTTCCAACCTTAATGATTCTTTGACACACACACAGTTCAAACACGGGACGGGTCTGGCTTTTTATACTACAGGCATTAGAAATTAGGTAAAAAAATCTTTGTTTATAAGGTATAATTAAACACATGCTTTTGCAGGATAAGAGTCACAGGATTGGCTGGCTCAAGAAACAATTGTGCAAGACAAAACAGCACAATTACAGATACAACATAACAATATCACACCAGGAATTAAGTGACACCCTAAACTCTGTCAGCTGAGACCTACATAGTCTGGTGTTTCAAACACAGTTGTTCAATCTGGCAGATTCAAAGAATTTGTATCAAGCTTAGTGTCACTCCAATCATACTCTAATTGCACACTACTAATCTTAGGGTGATTCCTTCACTGTCACATATAACTACTATTTGTATTCAAGAGTAAGAGACTTTGGAGCCAGAAGTGTGATAAAGATATTACTTTCAGCATTAATGTCTGAGGTCCTTACATCTGCTGGCTTACACTAGCAAGACCCTTAACCTTTTGATAATTAGGTTTCTGCTACAAAACTGACACTGCACATAAAGTAGCAATGACTGCAGAGACTGAGCTGCTTCTACAGAATAATAACAAATCAGCCACTGAGAATACATTGTCTTTCACTAACAAAATCTTCCACTAATGAAGAAAGGGCACATTTGCTGCTACTGAGACCAGCTCAACCCAAACACAAGAGGTGTCAAAGCAGCTCAAGGACACAGTTTGTTGTGTAACTGGAGAAATAAGAATGACAGTTTAAACAAATCTGTTCAAAGCAATCTCCTCATTCATAAAGCCTATTCAGTGACAGTGCTCCAAATCAATTTTCACAAGGCAGAAAACTGGGTAATTCCAGTAACTTACTGAGGACACTATTATTCATTAAACATAATTCAAGTAACTTATTTTACTAGTTGCAGACTGAATTTGATAGTCTGGAGGTAATTCAATTCAAGTCAATATTTTGACACTTCCATTCCTACCTGGTAGCAGATGGCACAGATATCATTGTGCTGCTCCAGCTGCTCTTTCGTGGCCACGGGCAGTGATTTTATCTTATTCACAGCGTCTCTTCGAAGAAGGAAACTTTTCCAGCCCAGCTGGGCCCGCAGCCACACATTGTAGTAGGAGTGAATGAAGATGATCACAGAACCCATCACGGTCCATTCACCAAAGATGGTTTCTGAGACCCCGTAGGCCACCACGCAGAGCGCGACCAGGAACTCCAGCAGCCGGTACGTGCCGTTCACGTAATAAATCACATCGTCCATGTTTTCTACAGGCTCTTTTCTGAACTCCTCCACCATAAACAAAACATAAATGAAGAGTGTCCCAAGCACCTGTAACACAGTTGAAGGCCACGAGGTCAGCATTCAATCCTGAACTGGGATCATTCAGCATTGTCCACTGAGTTCTGTACACACAATACCCCAAACTGGACAGAGGGCATCCAAGCCCCAAAGTAGTGAAACTGTTGCTGAACTTCGAGACAAATAAAAGTCACTCTTTCTTGTAAAGCATTTAAGCTTGTTCCCAAGTACCTTCCCTTCTGTACCTTCCTTAGTCCAGAGCACAGCTTAGTTGATTTAACAAAAGTTCTGAGCATCATGAGGGACACTTTTATAAATGTAATAATTAAAAAAATCAAGTTACAACAAATACAATACAAAACATTTCCTCTATTTACACTGATGTGTTTTGAACATCAAATTGCTTTCAAAGATCTGCAGCTAAGTAATGACACAAATGAGTACTTGGGGAAAAACCTTTTTCCTATAATCGTTACACCCTCAAAAGCCTTCTGGAGTTACATTTTGAAATAGACTTCTATTCACCTATGTTCTCAGCTCACACCAGGAGCTCCTTAGCCTCAGATACAGTATAAAGAAAGAGATTTTATATCATCTTTTGTAATTCTGCCCTTCTATCATCCCTCCTCTTTTCTCATCAAGCATTTCCCCCCTCAGAGTAACAGGATCGCAGTTAATGCTTCACAGGGCTAACGTTCTTACCTGAAGAGAGGTTAAAATACTGCTGGAGATAATGATCAACAGCCAGAAATCCATGTGGAAAAACTGACAAATCATGTAGGCCATGTATGCAGGGAACACGAGTAAGAACAGACAGAGGCTGACTGCTCGGAAGTGCTTCCACAGACTCCTGCAAACAACACAATAGGGTTTTATTTTTCAAGTCAGATTTGACTGTCAGAATAAGAACAGACTGCCTGCTGGATGTAGGTCTGTCAGATGTTTGCTCCAGGCTTTAACTTGTTGAAAAGAGTTTCTATTTTACTTGGGCACAATCTCATTCCCATCTTTCATGCAAGCCTACAACTATGGAAAGTTCCCTCTCATCTGACCTTTGCTGTTTTCAATAGAGACAAAAATTATGGGCAAAAATTCACTTACAGTAACTGTCATACTGGATCAAGTCAGTGGTTAGACAAAAAAAGTATCTGATATACTGAGTGTTTCAGATGAAAGTCCTGTAACTGTTTGGACACTTCTCTAAATAAATAAGAGGTATCTAGATTATATAATTCTTGCAACTCTTTTGTATCTTTTTGCTAATACGTGTGGGGCAATGCTATTTCCTTCCATCACCAGATTTAACCCTACTGCCTTTAGAAGTATATTCCCCAATTCAGAGATCACAAAAGAAGAAAGGTAGCAGGACTTGAACATTCATCTCTGCCAGTCCTTTCTCTGCTTCTGTCATTTACTTCTTCCTAATCTCCTCCCCAGCCTAAACACACCATCAATCTTTTTACAGTCACCCACTTGTGAAGGCTTTCAGAATATCTTGAGTAATTTACTATACTACCTCTACTTGTTCCTCAGGTTTTGTTTCAATCTCATTTAGCTCTGGAAATGAGGTGCAGAAAAAGTGAAACTATTGGGGGACAGGACAGCAGCACAAATTGGTTAATCATTTAGTCTGAAGAAACATCACAATGCTACTCTGAGGTCTGAAATTCTGTGTCTGTGGGTGAGGGAGAAAGTAAGAGCTGAAATGGAATTTATCCCAATCCTAGATAATTTAGAACTGCCTGGGAGATTTGGCAAAAGAATTAAACTCACTGTCACCACAGAATGCTTGTTTAAGTTGGGCAGATGCTTATATCCTGCCTCTACTCCCTTTCTCTCTGTTACTATATTGGAAGTTAAGGTTGCTGCAGACAGAACACATTGGCTACAAGTAGCCTCCAAGCTAAACAAACTACACATAAACAAACCTCTTTTCATTTCTTCACTTACAGGTTACGGAAAGGGAAAAAGCCAAAGCAATTAACAAACATACAAACAGATTAACATGAAAACACCAGATACCACCAAAACAGCTCTTCAAAACACAAATTAAACTAACCCACATGATCAGAACATGTGGGACACTAATGCAAACCTTCTGCCTCTTACTTTGTGCCAGTAAACCCTATCATTTTGAGATCATAGCCTCACCAAAGGAATAGATTTTACAATATCTAATACAGGGTCACTCCTAGAAACTTCTCACCCTCAATAGCTGTGTGAGATCACTGCATTAGAGGGATACCCACCCAACTACAGCAGAGGTTAAGAAAAACCATTTGCAAATCTGCACAATGGAGTGTGGGTGGGGAGAGCACAGTCCTGGATTGCTTAACTGAGACCACAGTGCACTGACACTCCTGCTAAGGAGAGTAACCAATGAGCAGTTTTACACAGGGAGTGGGTAGCCAGCAGCTGCAGAGCAGTGTGGTCTTGCACAGCTTGGATGGACACAGTCCTGAGCAGGAGCAGCTGACCAAAGTCAGCCCTGTTTGTCAGCGCAGAGTATGGTGAAAAGTATTAGTGTGTGCCCTTGAGGGGGGTAAGATAGAGAGGGAAAAACTAGAGAATTTAGACTAGAAAGAAATCTGCATACAGAAAAAAACAGGGTAACTTTACAAGCTACTAAAAAGCCAAATTAGACCATCAATTACTAGTTTATCACCTCCTAAAAGAGCATTGAGTAACTTTCAGTTTAGGAAACCAGTGTCTTACTTGTCCCTTGAGGCTCCCAATGCCAAGACAATGGGATCAGCAATTTCCAGCATGGACTGAAGTATGGATGCCACCACAATGAAAAGAATAATACTGAGCAGAAACGCCCGATGCACAACTTGGAGCTCTATCAAACCTGTCTGCACAGCCAGGATCAGGAGTGTGACTCCTTCAGTCATTCCCCTGCAGATCAACACAGTCAAAAGAACAATTAATCACATCTGTGTGTCAATGTTGGTTCAAAAGTACATCTAGAAACACCAGGAAATAAGCTGTTTCTGTCCCAACCTTTCACATGTCCCTGGTTTTAGGTTTCACCGACGTCCCTGCTAAGGCTCTAACCAGAGGGGAATGTTTCCAGAAATGCTGAAGAGTTTGGGTTAGAAACCAGCAGATTTCTTGACAAGCAGCATCTGGGCTACATCCAGCTCAGACATCATCCAGTACAAAGCATTTTAAGGACCCAGGTTGCATCTTAAGAGGAGGAACCCCCCAGCCCCAGTGTTGCCTACACAGCCCTGTCCTGTCTATATCTGGGCACCAGTCAGCCTCATTCCTAGACCACCAGGAAGACCCTCTCTACTTGTTATATTTCCCCATCACCACTCTCTTGTCTGTCCTTTGGCCCTTGTTTTAACACCCCACCAGGTGCCCAGTTTAGGCAAATTAGCAATTTTGCCATTTTTCAGTTTATTCCCCTTGTACCTAAACCAAATACAACTGTCCACTTCTTTCTGGCTTGGAACCTCAGATTGACTTTAATATCACTGTTTGACACAGTCAAACACATCACCCAGAAGTATATGCTTTACCAAATGTAGACTATTCCTAGGTAGCCCAAATTTATACCTAGGAATCCCATCTTGGAATCCAAAACATAAAACATTCTTTTGCATATGATCTGAAACCTTCTATAGAGTTAAGGGCTGGAGTAACTGACAAAGGCACTGTCAGATCTAGGATCCCAATTTCATACCAGACAAGTTTGGACAAGCATGAGAAAAGGCAATTTCTATATTTTGGCTATTTACAAGCAATTTAAACCTCATAGAGTAGTAATGTTTCATATGTGGCTACAGGGGAGATGAGGAAATGAAAATAAGAAGTGTTCATATTATTAATGCTTGTGAAAATTTTTCAGTGACTCATGAAAATGAAAGCATTAAGACAATCAAACTGTGCAATTGTAAATCCCAACTAACGGCCCTGAACCTGTTGGAGAAATGAATCATCTCCCAAGAAGTCTGTAAAAAAGTATTTTCACCTCAAATCCTTCCAATACACACACATAGACTGGCAAACAAAAAGCCAGTCAAGGATACCTAAGAGTTCAAAAGTGAAAAAACTGCAATGCCACCCACATATTTCTATATAAATCCCTTTTCAGTCTGTTTTTTTTCTCAACCCAAGGCACACTGTGGCACTTACCTGTTCATAGCAGGATCATTCATGAATGCTCGGTAACCCTGCAAGTAAAACTTGCAGAGAGTCAGAACTCCCAAAGCAACAAAAGAGACTGTGAAGACCAATCCCAGCAGTGAGTACGGAGTGCTACAGCATTCGGCAATACTGGGAGGGGAGAGGGGAAAAGAAACAGAAAGGAAAGGTTGATCAATTAAAAACAGTGTGATGAGCTCTCCCCATGTCCTGTTAACTGTTCAAGTTGGTTTCAAAGCAAAACTGGATTGGTTTAATGAAAATATTCAAAGCTCTACACCACTGTTAAATCCTCCAACAGAAGAAAAAGATGAGATGTATTCTATTACTTCTTTCCAAGACATAAGTTCATCCCAGCTCCCCACTGGAGCCAGGGCTGTGCTGTGACATTCCTGCAGTCCCCTCAGCGCGGTGCCACGTGGTGGCACTGTCCTGCTGTCACTGGGCGATCAGAACCACAGGCAATCCCACCCAGCTGACTCGCTGGAACATCAGCCAGCACCACAAACACAGAGTGAGAGCACAGGGATTCACTTAGGCACATTCTCCTCATACACACAGTAACACAAACAAACATCAAACTAGTAAGTCCTGTTGGGAGACTGGGGGCTGTTTGGCAGCATTCACACCAGGTTCAGGTAGGCAAGACTTGTCTGAATTTCTAATGGCTGAGCCAGAAGCAGCAGAATAAGAGAGTGGAGGACACTCCCGCTCAGGAGGCTTCTTCCTCTCTGTTACTACAGCAGTGGAACCCCAAAGACTGACACCCCAGACTACATCTGACGGTGTTGAGAAGAGCTGCACCACTTCAGCTCCCTCACCTTCGGGCTGCTCTTCTGCTGGTCCTGGCACTGCGATATTTGAATGTGCTTCGGCTTCTGAAACACAGCACTGCCACTGCCAGGTAAAAACCCAGCTGTTGTCAGGGGTTACACATCTGGAAATCCTCACATATATAATCCAAGGTAACACACTGACACCTCATTCATTTAAAAAAAAGAAAAAAAAAAATCTTCATTTGTTCCTCAGGACAGCAGTCTTGTGAGGAGAGAAAGTGCCGTGGCCAAAAACATGTCCTGCTAATTAACCAACTGATGAGTGAAGCAGTCCAGTGCTCTGACAAAGGAGTTTGAGGAAGCATATGCTTCAAAAATAAACAAAGCTCATCCAAGAGGCATTTACTTTGTCTCTTTTAGTGACTACTTAAACCGGAAATCTCCTCTGAAAGCAATTCACAGCAGAAAACATTGATGTGTTTACATATACAATGTACAGTGCTTCCGGTAACCCTCCAAATCCTGCCTGTTTACCAAGCCAAGGGGGGCTGAAAAAGTTTTTAAATGTTCCTGCAGGTCAAGGTAGTGAGAAATACAGTACTTAAAGAGTTATTTCTGTAGAATATTTGAGGAATTCTAAGGTTTGCTTCAAAAGAAATGATTAGAAATTAAGAATCCTGGCTTTTCTGCCTGATGTCCAATATTTTTTTGTTTGAGTCATTTTAGGACTCTTCTTAAACTTGATCTACTATGTAAGGGTCCCAGAGGAGCTTAAGAGCTCAAAGAGAAGCCTGAGGAGCTTTATTATGTTTATGTGTCAAGCACAAGTTTATAAATTGTCCCAAAGAGCTGAACTCTTCATGGTTTCCCAAAAATCACAGCAGTTACAAATCCATGGAAAAGATTTTGAGATGAACAAGGAAAATGACAGACACAGAACAGTTTTAAACAGCAAATCCTGTTTGTTTTAACTTTGAGACTTGGGTGCTTTGGTTGCTTAGATGAGCTCAAGAATGTGTCCCACACCGAAATGATAAAACATACAAGGCTCAGAAAGCAACATGAGCATGAATAAAATATCACTTGGACTGAACTTCAGCTGAAACATCTCAGACTTAAAACCAATTTATATACTGAAAACAACTTCTGGACCAATGCTCTAATTATAGCTATTCCCTTCTCAGAGGAATATTTTGCTTTCTTTGAGAACTCTTCCACAGTTCTGCTAATGCTGCGTGTTCTGAATGGGATCCATGCCTTTGTAGGACAAGCTTAGCAGATTTTGTATACATGGTCACTGTAGTAAGGACAAATATTTCATGGGTATCCAAGTGCAATAAAACCAATATACATATCTCATCTTTCAAAGAGCACCAACATTCACTTCAATAGACAGTCAACAGAGAAAACTAATTATTTGCAGATAAGTCAATTACCTGGTCAAGAAGAGGAAGAGGAGCCTCTCTCTCGAGGCAGGCTGGTCCCGTGTACTGAAATAGGAATAGATCTGAAGAGCAAATAAAACAAGCCAGAACACCATGAAAAGCACTGGGACAACCAGTTGGTTCCACAGAGACATTCCCAGCGCCAGGAGCCCGTACACCTCCACCACCTGGACAAGACACAAAAAGGCAATTTGTTATTGGATCATAGCATCTGGGATTTGACGACAAAAGGACAGTCAACAATATATTCACAACAGCAAAGTAAATCTACTTTGCAGACCGGTTTTTAAGAAAAAAACTTAATACCTCAGACATTTTATGTGTAAGTATCTCAAAAAGGAACGCGTACCTAATCCACCAAGTGTTTAGAAATTCATGCTTAAGACTTATTTCAGAAGACTCTGAAGCTCAAATTACTTCTTTTGTATTGCAAAGACTAAGTTACAATGCAGTAATTTCCAAGAAGCTGGAACTTCATATAGCTGGGCTTATTACAAAAGGTCTAAAGGAAAGCACTCAAAACTACTGATTCCTCATCACCTGCTTCCCCCACAGTGACATACAAGCCATAATGGCAAGGAAATTTTAGCAAATGCTAAAAATGCTGCCTACTTAGTCTTTCATGGTAAGCATGAGGGATATCCCATTAATGGGACATGCTGCAGTACGTACAGGGGCTGATGGACAAGCAATTGCTGCTGGCAGTGGTGCAGTGCCAAGCTCCCGTGCTCAGCTTTGCCCACAGACTTATGAAGGAAGTGCACCTGCCCGGGGGAGACTCCTCTGGCCTGGGACCAATGCAAGCAATCCTGTGCAGCTCCTGGCAGAGGGCTCCACCACATCAGAAAAGGGTCATGCTATGCTTATAATGTAGATTCATAACCATGAGGCATTTCTGGCATCTTCTGCTGCAAACAGCCAGCCAAGGGTCTGGGCCTGCTTTTAAATTATACCCTCAGGCACAGTCTAACATACACTAACAGTCCACTTGTTAGGGCTGTCTCAGTGTTTAACATCCCAATATTCACCAAGCTTTGACACTGACAATCACAATCAAATCCAGCCTAAAACAGCAGTAAACTCTCAAACACCACGACAAAGGACCCACTGAAAATTAACAACTGCTCAAAGTTGTAGCAATGGAATACAACTAGGAAAATATTCCAGACAGAATGCCAATATCCGCCTCTGGAATATGCACACTAAGCTTGATTTGTAGTGGAGTTGCACCCAGTTACACGACCACAGTATTAGCCAATATATTTTCTGCTCTGTTTCAGGAACACAGGCAAAGAGCAGCGAGCTCTTGAAAAACAAAAATCCTGCTTTCCCATATTCTCAATACAAGTCAAAACCTACTCACACATAACTTCATTCCAACTCTACTCCATGCATTTACAAAAGCAGCATCCAATACTCTTATAAACCCAGTGACATGTTATAAAGTTTCTATCATTTTTTCTGTATTCCCAAGGAAAAAAATCTTCATGCCTTCTGCACAAAAAGTCAGGAGAAAGAGTATGATCAGTGTCCAAAGGCCAAGCACAAGGAATATTTCTTCCTCATGATGATGACACTGTAATACAGTCCAGCATTGAAAGATATGAAACACTGTGATGGAGCAAGGGGGAGACAAGCAATCCTAGAGATGAGGAGGAAAACTCGGTAACAACAATATTTAGAATTCTGACAAACAAACCAAACAAAACAAATGAGCAAGAAACAACTATTTCCCCCCTCAACCTGGAATGTATTTGCAATTAAAACACTGGTAAGATACCAGTGTGTCTAATGTGTCTAATAAAAAATAGATACAAGTCTCAAATCCACATCCAATCTGAATTTGACTTCAGGAAGTTAAACTGTGTATCCATTCATGCACGTGGAAAATGGAAGTGCTGGTTCCAACCTGTTTCAAGGCTCTGAACTGTACAAAGACATGCAAATATTACCCCAAAAGTTAACCCTCTAAATAAAGAGTAAGCAAGATTTTCCTATTCTCCCTGGAAAACAGGATATTGAAGCTTTGCCAGTTAGCTCCTGAATTAGTTTTTATCATCAAATCTACAAGCCAGGGAAGATTTTGATTGGATATTAGAAAAAATTTCTTCCCTGAAAGGGTGGTCAAGCGCTGGAACAGGCTGCCAAGGGCAGTGGTGAAGTCACCACCCCTGGAGGGATTTAAAAGATGTGTAGATGCAGCTCTTAGGAACATATTTTAGTGGTGGCCTTGGCAGTGCTGGGTTAGCTGTTGGACTTGATGATCTCGAGTTCTTTTCCAACCTAAACAAGTCTATGATTCCATGGATGAGGTCAGACCATGCTAGGTGCTGTACAAACACGGAAGGATAATCCTGCTCTAAAGACCGACTACATACAAAATAAATAACCACACATCAATGATCAACATGACAGGCTGAGACCTTGGCACACCAGGCACCTACTGCTGCCAAGTTTTTGTTTGCACATGACAGATATGACAGCAAACAAGAGCTTTAAAGAAGGCTTTGAAAGAGTTTAACAAGTTAGTTTTCAGATTACTTCTGGACCAAAGAGCAGAAGGAAAAAAAAACAGTGTCTTGGTTTGAAAAAAATCCAGCCAGTGGTGAGAGCTGAAACAGTGAGTCAGTCAAAAGTCAAGCAAGCATAAATCTTTTTATGTTGAAATATATAAAAGGATGTATAAACCTATATACTTTATATAAAAAAACATGACCTGTGATGTTTTTGTAGCACTGAGAAAGTAAATTTTCAACTAAGCATGTATCAGCATTAACAAAATGGACACATGTCAGATCAGTCTTCTCTGTTTCTGCCACCTTTTGCTCAAGGTCTCAGCAATGCTGCTGTTCTAAAGAAAATACCTTTCAAATCACTGTGCAAGTTACAAATCACTAAGTCAGTGATTATTAAGAGTCAAAATCACCTTCAGTGTTACTCCCTATTTAACACTTCTATAATTACACACACTTTTCATACAGAAGGCATTTCTTGAAATGAACAGTGAATGCACAGGGATTTCCTTGCTCATTTAATGAGGCTTTAAATGTATTCCATTCTGGCACGATCTTATCTTTTAGCCTGGATTTGGGAAGGAATAATCAATGTCCAAGCACAGTGGACATGCTCAGCTGGCCAGCAGCGTAAATCAGGCTAATACAAAGCTATCATAAAATTACAGAAAGAAGATGCCACGGATCAGAGCACATTCAGATTGCTAAGAAAGCATGAGTTAGCACACACACACGCACACAGGTGCACAGAAGACAGCCAAAGTACTACTTTATTTCTTCCTGCAAAAAAGGCTCAGGAAAAGGAAAATAAAATTGTTACATTCGCCATCTTACCTGGACAAGCTCTCTGTATGCAGATTTCGCCAAGTTATAGGGCACCAGAAGATTTGATGCCAGAAAGTAGAGAACTTCCAAACCAGTGAAAATCATGGCGAACTTGTTGATGATGACGATGGTTTCCAGCGGGACGAGGCAGAGCCGTGCCAGGAGAGGGAGCATGTGGGCAGAGAACAGCCAGATCTGCTTGGTTTTCATGACGCAGGAGCAGAGTGTACACACCACCAGCTGCCCTGGAAACGCGACACAGCATTTCAGAATCAAGCTGATTATCCCCTTCAGGAAAAAGCGTATTTTAATACTTTATCTTTCCAGAACACAGTTATCAACATCCAGCATATTTCGACGGCTGTAACTAGGACATCTCTGTTATGAAACCAGGCTCTTCCGTGTCTTTTGCTGGGTCACTAGAGTTACCCTTTTCAAACTGTGCATGCTTTCACTTCACAGATTAGTGAGCTGTAAACCCTAAACACATGCAGAATCAGATTAATACGAAGTCCCAGAAATAAGTCATATAGAGGACAAACCAAAAGTCATCTCACTTTTTCTTTACCATCCCCACCTCAGCTGAAGTCCAGCTACACTATTTCATCCCAATCCACACAAAAAAAGCAATCAAAGGTCCCCAATGGCTTTTAGAACAACAATATTTATACTGTCAAGAGGAATTACTGGCCAAGAATAGCAACAGGAGAACAGCCAGGTCAGCAGCTGAGACTTCAGTAACTTCATAACGCCCCGAGACAGTTGCTCAAAATTATCACTGAAGCTTGCAAGTGAGAGATAATTAACAACTAAATTCTCTTTAATAATTGGTGGGGACACAATCACATCTCCCCCCTACACCCAGAGATTTGGAGGGTGGTATTTCTAGGGCAGACCACTCCATTATAGCTGCTCCTATCAGAGTCACTGGAAGTTGTATCCTTGATCCCAGAGGAAACAGCATGGGGCAAAAGGCACATTACCTGTATAAGAACAATTCTCACTCATCATTTTGCAGTAAGGAAAAATACTGCTGTGTATTATTTGAAAACAGACCCTTGTTCACCATCTATGTCAGCTTATATCCAAAAGCCACAATACGTGGTACTAAACCCAAGTGCTTATGCCCTGTTTTGGAACAATCTCCACTAATGTTTGCATTTCACAACTCTTCCTGAAACCAGGAGCTAGGCTTAGCAAAACAGAGGAACCAAATCAAGGCTAGTAACATCTCTAGGTCAGTGTGAACTCCATGTGCTCACAATAAGCTCACTGACCTTGTAAGCCCTTCTGGAGGGGCAGGGGAGGGAAGCTGCGAGAGGAGAAACAGCAGTACCAGGGTTTTGCTTTCATTCTGCCAAGCTTCCCTACCTGGGGGGAAAGACTTCTGCTTTCAAAATAACTGCAACTGAGCTGAAAGACATCTCTAATCTCTACTGCTTAAGCATACAAAGTTCTCCCTCCTTCACACTGTCCTCTTTCAAGTTTAATTCCTACTGTCAATTTGCTAGATGTATTTTTGAATTAGCAGATGTCTTTTCAGAACAAGCACCGTTGCTCTCAGCAAGACACTATCAGCATACTGGGTCTTATAAGCCTCAGAGAAAGTTACTCTACTCATCTTTTTCAACATTCAGCAGACTCCAGCTCTGAAGCATTCTCCCTCTGCTTTGTTGTTCTCTGCCCACACACACGTTGCTACAACCCTATTTAAGACACCACCAGCACACTGCTGTGCTGTAATATTCAGGAGCCTGGCAGGCAGCTTGTGAGGATTTCTGCGACTCGCGGTAACTAAGGCAACCCAGCTTCACACACAAAGGGACACAAACACCAGCATCCAATATGTTCTTCAGGATTTACTCAGTGTCGTCATCTGAAATAAAGCACTGCGACAGCATCACATTAAACAATCCAGTGCTTTTTGGGATGACTCTAGAGCTCTCCACTCACAAACTAGAACCTCTGAGTCCAGTCTTATCTCAGTAAACAGCTAAACCTGCTTTCCTCCAGCAGCCACGTGCCAAGAATGCTGTTGTCCCCGCTCAACTCTGACCCTCCCACCTTTTTAATTTAAACACCAATCAAAAGCTGTTTGTCATGGGAAGAGAGCTGTACACACCAGCAAAGGAAGTATATGGAGCACTTCCTCTAGAGGTCCCAACCTCCTTCCTGAAGTGTGCACCTTGTCAATTCTCAACCTCTTTAGGAAGGGAGTGAATGTCTCCAACAAAACTTTGAGTGATGGGACTTCCCATTTTAAACTGAGGCAGCAGCACCTTCATTCAGGACAGCCAATCTATATCTGCAGTAAATCATACTTTATCTCCAGGTGGGGCTGCACAGCGTCAGTCACCAACATCACACCATCACACGGCAGGATCAGCCAGAGAAATTTGTTTCTACCTCATATCAAATCATAGATTTTAACACTCTAGCTAAGACTATCAAATCCAGGTGACTTGAAATGCTGTGGACTGAAAACTGCCAGACACAGCTAATGAACCCAAGAACTGGAATCCCCCTGCAGGACACCAACCATGTTTCTCTGCTAGGGAATGAGGTAATAAGGAAGAAATCCATTGTGTGAACTTCCTGTCCACTCTCTTCCCTTCCCAAAACCTCCACAAATACATCAAACATTGCTGACACATAGCCAGAGCCTCCCAGCTTATAAGCTAATGGAAAATGTACAGCAAAAAAATTGATGTGGCACAGCCACTGTACAAGCCACTTGGAGTAGAGAAATGTCTTTATTTCATTCATGATTTTTGAAAGCTGATGTTAAACTCCCTGGCTACACAATTGACTGTAACTCAAAGACAGGGTATCCTAAAGTTAATATATAATCCCATTACTGTGCACTAAATAAAGTAAGTCTTTATGGCAGCATCACTTCCAAAACCACACAGCAGCTTTGTAACATTCACAGCTGAAGTGTTTCCAAAGTGGTACGCACATCCAAGGGGCCATCTCCAAAGGCATTTATTTCTTCCACCCAGCACTTAGGAATGCATTATTAACCCTTCTCAACAGTCATCAGGCTGAATTAGATGCAGGGGAAGAAATGACTGTGAGAGCCCATTCAAAATGTACTAATGAATTAAAGCACTAGTAAAGATGAAATTTGTGAACCAAGTGGCACACTGTACATCACCCCCTCAATTCTGACAAGAACTTTTAGGAACCAGTGCTGTACCAGTAGCACCACTATTCCCTCATACATCCAACTTCAGTGTCCTTGTCAACAGTGCTGCAGCACAACACTCTGGCAGAACATGTGAGGAAAAGATGGAGCAAAGCACTTGTATATTCATTTTGGTGTGACAATGACACCGCTCAGTGCTGTGCGTTCCTGAGACTCCACTGAACACACACCTTGGAGAGAACTGATCGGAGAAAATATTTCATATTTATATAAAATACTGCCAAGACTTATAGCTCACTTTCACAAGTCTTCCCCAAAGATGAACTCTTGCCATCAAGACAAAAACTGCACTTTCAAGTTGGCTTTAAAAGCACAGGGGAAATTAAGAATGGGGATATTAAATATGTTAACATGCACACACTTGCTAGTACAGTCAAGCACCTACTTCTGAAACACCATTACAATATGGAGACACTTTAGTCTGACACCCACTACAACCCAAAACTATACTGGATAAAACCAGTATTATCTTTTCCTCCCTTATTTTGACTCTTGGTTTAGTTTCTGTCTAAGTGTTACTGATGACACAATGCCTCCTGAATCTCCTCCTGCCCAGGCCTGCCTGCAGCTTTGTGAAGCTCTCTGAGGGATTCTGCTTTACCATGGGACCCTGCATTGCACCTGAGAGAGATTCAAAGGACTGATTACAAACATTTTCTCACAGAAACATGCTAAAAGCTTTAGTTGTACTTTGGCGTCATTTGAGGAGACAGCAAAACATACACAAGAGAGAAGAAACTATAACTAAATAACATTTCCTTGAAAATTACCAATGTTATTTCTATTAAAAATACTAAAAGCAAAGACAAATGCCACAATTGGAAGTAAGGATGCAGGCAAACAGGAGATGTGTACATTCTGGCAGACCTAACATACTGTTGGGTAGTAAACCCATTTCTAGCTGCCAGTAGCAGCTGCAAGTAAACAGAAAGCAGCTGAGTTTTGCCAACAGTACATGGCTGACTAAATCTGTCAATAATCTGATGAAAACCATAGATCTTACTGAAAGGAATTAAGGAAGATTTTTCTTCCAAGCTTGTCTCAGGTTTAATTTTATAATATACATGGGGTGTGTGTATTCCAGTATCCTCTCAGAAGAACATATGGTTTGGTGTAACAACCTTAACGCTGCATTTATTCTCTTCCAGTCAAAGTTCAAAGGCCAGGAAAACAGTCTAGGAAGTCCAGTTCTTCAGGATTTGAGATTTTTAGGTAGAGAAGTCATCTCAGCCATTAATCAAACACAATTTAAATGTACTTTTGACTTCTTATTCCTTAACTCTTTAATTAGAAATATCCTGGAGACTCTGTTAAAAAACCAGTAGCCTGTAGTCCCCTGCACACACCCACAGACATATTTCTCATGTTTTGTAAGAGACCAATAATGTTCATCTCTAAACCCAATAAAGAATTAATACGTGTACAACGCTTGAATTGACAAAATCACCACAAATGCACGTTATTGTTGAAATTTCTCTAGTACTTTCACATAAATATTACTATAGACAAGCCAGTTGTCTCGAATCAAAACTTATCTGACAGTAACAACCTCAATCCAACAATAACACAGCGGCAGAGCACGACAAACACACCTGGAAAATATTTCAGAGCTGCATAGAAAAGGCCAGGCAGGATACAGGTATCCTCCCATGCCTTTTGCATATTAATAAGAATCACAACTACTAAAAGTAATAAAAGAGAATTGAAACCAAGAGCTAAAACATGCACAGGTTTCAATGAAAAGAATTAGGCAGAGCTCTCTCCTGCATCTCAAATATTTAAAGCACTTACCTACTAAAGCAGTCATGAAACGGTTCATAGAGAGAGGCTCCAAGTACATTGGTCCCTCATATCCTGATTCCAATTCGCTTCTCACATAATCCCTGAAAAGATAAATGCACAAACTATTATGATCAAACTGATCAGACAAGAAGCAATTTATTCATTCCACACATATGTAACTTCAATGTATGTCACAGCCAATTAACTAAATTACAAAAAGCAATATTAACATTACTGTTACAGCAGCTTCACTGATGGAAGGATCTAACTGAAGCATGACTTTAGCGAGAGCAGAATTATCTGTAATTAGACTCACTGGCAGAGCTGTAAAAATCCTTTGGGACATCCAAGCTGTTCTTCAGACCGTGGCCTCAAACTGCTTATTGACAAAGCCTCTTAAGCACCATTCCATTTTTAAGTATCCTTATTAAGTGTTTTTCTTCCTAACAATAATTGCTTTTTCTACCAGCAACGTGTGGAAGAGAAAATTTGGGCGCTTGACAGAGAGGTCTTTCAATTTAATGCTCATAATATTTTGCACCTAACAAGTTCTCTGCATTGAAGTAAAATCAGGTATGAAGGAGAAGTGACAGTCATGGACCAGAGTCAGGAACAGAGTTGCTATGTAATTGTTTTATCCAACATGATTTAAAAGTGTAGTTCTATCCTGGGAAGCTTGGGGGACCTACTGGATACCCTCAAACTGACAGACCTAATAAGAGTATGAAAATCTGAAAGGGTATTTGTAATTTCCCCCAAAGAGGGTGGGTTGGGAGGGTGGGCTCTGGCAACCAAAGTAGAAGATAAGAATTTGAGGAGATTGGGCATTTTCCTGCTGTTGGTGATTATCCATTGGCTCTGTCTTCAAGGTTAACACACGTAACAGCAACAGAACTCAGATACAAACCTCACACTGAGAGCAAGCATTTTGCACTTTCAGATGATCCTGGAACAGCACAGCAGGAATTCTCCAGTGGCTCCTTAATACCCTGCCATGGGACAGCAGACAGTATTCCCGACCTTTCGCATCCAACTCTCCAGCCCATTTTTATTCCTCGCCCTGCGACCCTTCCTGCTCCACTCCAGGACAACTGCAATTCCACCCGTGTTAGGGCACCACTACCTTGGGCATCAGCAGCACAACTAAGCCTGTGCTTGTATCTGGCTCATCCTGTCCAGCCATTTGTGTCTACCTTCATCACATCCTGGGAATGCCAGACAGACACACTTGATCTGACCCCACATGGAGCTAAGGGAGTCTGCTTGCTCGAGGGGTAATTCTTTTATTACATGTTTATTTATATCAGTAAAGCAAGCCACACTTGCTGGGAACAGCTACAGACAAAACACAGCAAACAGGACCGGAAACCACAGCCAATACAAGCACTGCTCTTTTTATTTTAGTGCAGAAATAGATGCAACTCAGTGGTGGTGAAAGCATTCGCTTCTCCCCAGAAATGTGGAAACATACCCCCCTCCCAGTATTAACTTGCTACCCCCCAAGCTAAGGTATTCGCATTTTCACTTGCAAAAAAAAATCTCAGGAATTCAAGACATAAATCTCAAAGTACTAAAACAAACACTTCAAAGCCTGTTCTTCATAGCTGACAACGCTGCCTACTCACGGCAGCTTTTCAAGCGTCATAGTATGAGTGAGGTATGTTGAAATGGGTTCTTCAGACTGCAACCTACAATTAAATACACAAGGACTGAAAGGCACCCAAGACAACTATTCTAGACAGAAAATTCCCCCTTGTTATCAAGCTATAGCTGAACACAAATGTTTTTTTCCCCACCTTCCAAAAGGTGGATTGTATTCCAATAAGGATATAATCTTTGGGACAAAGATTTTTCTATTTCTTTACATCAAATGAACCAGCAGAAAGCACTTTCTCAAAGCATCAACACAAACAAGATAATCCATCAGAGTTACAAAGAGAGAAAAAAGTAACAGCACTTGCAACATGCTGAAGATTGCTCTTTGAATTAGCAGTATCATGCTCCATCCTCAAATTTAGGTTGAAAACACTGGCTATTTCTAAGCTGCTAGAAGGGAAGCAGTGAAGACATCAAGTTACTTCTATATCTGTTAGAAAGCAGGTTACAAAATCATCCAGGATACTAAGTGCAGCAAGATGACCTTACACAACTTGGCTAAGAAACACAAACAAAGCTACACTTACGGTTGCTTCTTCAACACCAGAACGTGTCTGGAGATGACCCAAATTTCTTCGAGCTACATTTCTTGCTGTTGTCTGGTTCAGTCATCTGCACCGAGGTCTGCACTCAGCTGAATTCTCTAAGTAACTCTCAATTATAATTGAGTTTTAGGCCCACCAGCTTGGAGAAGCAATGTTTTAAGATCTCCTAAATTTTTTAAACAGTATTTGTAGATGATGTCTGAATGAGGGAAGTCAAAGCAATGATTCTCTTATTACCCGGACAAGCACAAGGATCTTTTGGCACAGATACCAATCAGAAGATGCCTCGAACAGCTGCAGTGCCATACAAGATGATGAAAAAAACAAGTGCCTGCACTCAATTTTGATCAATTAAAGCTGTATTAATCTGCAGCTTTTACATTTGAGGATTGTTCACTTTACTGCAGCAATGTAAGAAAACAAGAATGCTAAAATCATTATTTATCAGTTAATGAAATGACTGAAACTACATTATTATTTCAGAAAATTTGGATTTAAGAATAAAGCTTCGATCAGACTGCCTGCTGTTCATTTTATTAATGCATTCCCAGTTTCATTTAATCCAACTACTGGCCTGTTAACAGGTATTGAAGGCCAGCCATGACTAATCTTACTCTAAAAAGGTGAAGAGATACAGTGCTTCACACATGATCATTTTTATTACTGAAAGTGCAGAAAGGTCTTCTGTTACTAAAAATATGCTTTGTAATTGACTGACATAAGGCACAGTGGTTATCTGACCTAATTGACTCATATCGCTGACATTTACTTTGGCTGATTAATCTCCACTGTCAACAAACACACTCTCACAGTTTTCTAATGTCTACAGACAACCTTAAAATTGTGTATTTTAAGTTTATCCATAAGAAGCAATTCAGTCTCTTGCTCCCCACCTTCTTCCCATTTTAAGTTCTGCGAGGTTCAACACTTGGGATACAATCATAACAAAACCATAAAACATGAAATAAGACAATGATGTAGACTCTACTTTTTAGCATTAACAGTGTGTTTAACTGCATCACCTCCAATCTCCATAACTGCATAATTTATTTTCCCAAGCTTTTTAGCTGGAAATGGGTAAAAGAAATGTGATTTTTTTAAGCAAGACATTTGTGCAACTACATATAAAATAAAACCAGCATCCACCTTGTCAGGAGTGGTAGGACCGTTGTAAATTCATTTACTTGGCTGAATTCTTTCAACTGTATTCTTTTGGATGAGCAGTTTTGCTCAGCATGAGTTAGCTAAAGTTGCTGGAGTCTTAGGCCACAAGCTGCAAACTCCCACCTACAAAAGTCAAATTTATCTTGAATTTCTGCTCACTTACACGAAGGGACGCCCTGAGACCACTGGGAACTGGAAGATAAGGAAGCCACAACTACCAGCAGAACCTGCAACCCAGCCAGATAAAAGCAGCTAACACCCACCTGGAGACAGAGTCCTACAGGGAACAAAAAGACCTCAAACCAAAACCCACCACTGGGGCAAGAGGTGTGTGCAAAGCACATGAAGAGTGTGTGAAGAAGGGGTGGATAGACTGTAAGGGTATAAAGGCCCAGGGATTGGTGTGTTCTGGGTCCCTGGCTGGGGGCACCCAGCTCAAGCTGTTCCTATTGCTGTGTCACTGAATTATTAAACTAATTTTTCCTGGAATTGGAGACTCTGCTGTGGGAAACCTGGGGCAAAGGAATTTGGTGACCTAGATGGGACTTTAGGCCACCACCTTCACATCCTCTCATCTCCAAATATCCAGCTGCTGGCATCGGGTGAGTTCACCTGGGACCTTTGGAGCAGGAGACATTGAAGGGTAAGTGTTAAAATTCCTTAAGCAGATTTGGAGAAAATACTGCAGGGGGTTTGAGACCCCTGCTGTTGCAGCACACCTATTAGTGTGCTGCCTGATCAGTAGAAGGCTGCACATAGAAAGGGGGTTTAAGCTCCACATTTGAAGGGGGCTCAAGTCCCTCTTAGCACTGGGAAGTATAATCCTTTAGATAAAAACTGTTGGCCAAGTCTGAGACTAAGACAGGATTCAGCTGCACCTACACTCCTCTCTGAGAAGGAGTTCAGAAAGCAAGGGGATTCTTTCTGAACCTCGTGACTCAACAGGAAGGTCTCCCTAAAAGTATTTTTTATTGTTTTTTCTTTATTCTTTCTCAGCATAGAAAAGGGGATGCCCTTGGCTGAAGTACAGCAAAACTGGGAAAAGATTTATGGTACAGCTCAATTATCTGAAAGGCACACACTGGCGTTGTGCCAGGAGGAATGGCCATATATTACTAGGACAGCTGGTGGGGGCCCCAGGAAATTTGGCCACTACATGGAACTTTCAATCAATTAAGATTCACTTATTTACGACAACGCTTAGAGGATAAAAGCCCTGGACAAATGCATTACTGATTTAGGGAAAGAAAATTAGATACACCACTCTCATGTCAAACGAGTGGTGAGTAACCATCCAGCTAATGAATGATGGCACTAGGAGGAACTGATACTCTGAAGAGATGAAGTGGGACAGCTCCCTACTCTTGGTGCTGTTAACCCAGATGACCACAGCTGCATGGCTAAGTATAAAATCAATGTATGACCCAGTGTGGTATAAAGTTAACAATATTAAATGGGAGGAAGTTTGTGTAGATTTTTATGGGTTGGGTGACCAAACCTCTATAAAACCCCACGAAGGAGCTCTCGTTTTTTGTTGTGAATCAGATACAGCTCATGATCCAGCTTTAACAGAGAAACCCAGCAAGACCAAAGTTCATTGCCCCAGTGCTACTAACTGCTGCTTAATGTTCAATTCCAGCTGTTGTGTGTAGTTGGACACCAGATTTCAAGCAAACAGAATATATGTTAATGTGACCTGTGAAAAATAATTAACTTGATACCAAACACTGTCTCACTGCCCAACACAACATGCTTAGCTACATCTCCACCTGATCCCACAAATTTTTGAAATCAGCACTGGCTCTTAATTGCATCCAAGCACAACTGCAGACACAATCTACAGTAGCCAAAACTGTAAGAGAAGGGGAATGGGGTATCTCTCCTATCGAAATTTAAAAAAGAAAATCTGGGAAAATGCAACTGATTTGGAAAGAGAATTCCAATTGTGGTGGTATCCAGCCAATTTCCCATATAACTGCAGCAGTAATTAGGCCACAGCTTTTGTCTCAACAATATGCAACACATCCATATTATACCACACACCCAATCCCTGCATTAGGATTGAATCACAATAGAACTGCACTCTATCCAGTAGAACAGAGAATATGGGCCCAACAAAACAGTATCAAATGGCAGACTGTCAGTGTTGATGCATGTGTTGTAGGAGAACAACAGGGAGTTATTTGTGAAAGCGAAACCATCAAAGCCCAAGACATTTGTTTTGACATGGAACAAAATGTCTGTCACTTGAAATACATTTTGAAGAAACCCCTGAAACTGTACTTGTATATGTTGGAAAAGGATTTGCTCCTGTAAGAGCTCTGCAGTCTTATGTTTGTAAATAACAGCACTTCAGGGACAAATAATCACTCAATTATTTCCAACTCTAATAACACAGTAGGATGCAATTTTAATTATTCAGCTCCTATTATTTCCTATCAATGGTTACAATGCAATTATGCATAAGCTGAAGATTTATTACTTGCCCCCATTGGAATGAATCCTTCATTGGTGAGGAAGTTCCTAAGCACAATGACCTGTATCAACTATTAGAAAGTGTATGAAACAATGGACAAAAAACTCTAATCACCATTCATTGTGATTCAGAAGAGATGCATCATGTCATGAAAAGAGGGAAGAAGGGAGAACACCAATGCTGGGAAACTCTCTTTGGGCAGTCACCAACAGCAACAGGAATCTATAATCAGATGCTCCATCTAGTAGTGACCTGGTTTGCTCTGATTATATTGTGCCTGTTGCTTCTAACAACATATGTGAGACTAAGGGTCATAGTTAAAGGCCCTGAAAGACTTCATAAGTTCCTTTTGACATTTTAGTAGGAATGCTTAACAAAAGCAATGGGAGGACTGTTGTAAATTAGGATTAGTTGGCTGAATTCTTTCAACTGTATTCTTTTGGATGAGCAGTTTTGCTCAGCATGAGTTAGCTAAAGTTGCTGGAGTCTTAGGCCACAAGCTGCAAACTCCCACCTACAAAAGTCAAATTTATCTTGAATTTCTGCTCACTTACACGAAGGGACGCCCTGAGACCACTGGGAACTGGAAGATAAGGAAGCCACAACTACCAGCAGAACCTGCAACCCAGCCAGATAAAAGCAGCTAACACCCACCTGGAGATAGAGTCCTACAGGGAACAAAAAGACCCAAACCAAAACCCACCACTGGGGCAAGAGGTGTGTGCAAAGCACATGAAGAATGTGTGAAGAAGGGGTGGATAGACTGTATAAGGGTATAAAGGCCCAGGGATTGGTGTGTTCTGGGTCCCTGGCTGGGGGCACCCAGCTCAAGCTGTTCCTATTGCTGTGTCACTGAATTATTAAACTAATTTTTCCTGGAATTGGAGACTCTGCTGTGGGAAACCTGGGGCAAAGAAATTTCTCTAACAAGGATTCTGGTTTTTTAAAGCTGATATCTCTTTCTTCCATAAACAGATGGTATGTTATTTCCACCCAAATTGCCAGGTTAACATGCTACATATACAAACCTAGCATCATCTCTGATGCTCCAAGTATTCACAAATACTAGCTAATCCATCTTTACACGTCAAGGTAATTCTCAGTTCTGCAGGCAAGGAAACAAACATTTAAGAAATGAAGTCACTTGTCAAGGTCACGTAGACCTGGAAGTCTGAAGTTAGAGTTTAACTATAAAATTCAGATGATCTTATTCCCAGACTTGCAGATGAACTACAAGCTATTTCTGGGGTGGAAAAAAAGCACTGAGAATTCTTTCAACAGCTCAGAATTTCCAGGACACTGCAGAGTCACAAGTGCCAGCTGATTCTGGTCTTGTTCTATAATTTGCACTAACCAGACTGGCCCCAGTATGAGACCTCTTCATCAGTCTTAAATAGCATCCCAACTGGTAGTGCATGCGAGCAAGTCCCTGCAAGTTTTCAGCTCTAAGCAGAACTGCCAACAAAAAACATGAAGGAACAGTTTGCACATGTAACTACTGCATGTTTGTTATGATCAGGCTGCTAAATAGAAACACCAGTTGGAATTGGATAGTTTTGGCAATAAAAGGACGGGCTCCACCAACAGATTTGTCTGTTACATTTTACTATTTTCAATACGAAAACTAATGGGATTCAAAAATTCTTTTGTAAAGCTATTGCAAGTGCCATTCCCCACATATGATTCTCTGATTATACAAAGGCTGCTGCAGAGAATCCCTGGCACTGTGCTTCCTTCCAAACCAAATCAGCCTGATGTCTAGGGAATGGGTAAGCTCACTCAAAAGTGTTAGCAACTACCTTTGCTTTGCAAAATACCACGGGAATACTGCTGGACTATTAATTAAATATATTTTTTGTGCCAGTTGATGCAAGATTTAATTAAAGTCTTTATTAACTCACTCCGGAAGCATCAAATAGAGAAAGCTTACTATGAACACACCGAACAGTCCAAGCAATAGTTATCAAACATGTTACAATGATGCCTGTGAAGTCCCAAACCTCACAAAGCAACAGAGATGAGAATTCCTATTACATAGAAACACAAACGAAAAGGATATTAAAAGCAAACACAGTGCTATCTATCCCTTCAAGTATCAACCAAATGCATATCATTTCCCTTTCTTATAAAACATTTAAAGATCCAGAGTGGCATATAATATACCTCTCTAGCTGTAAATATTCTGGACCAAAGCCCTGTGTCTGACGGGCATTTGTTACTAGCTTCATTTCTATTTCAACACAAGTTCTCAAATAATGTTTAGTTTGCTTTTTCTAATAAGTAAGCCTTCAACCCTATAAGAAACAGCCACAAACTCCATCTATAATAACTCAGGACTCCCCTGAGGATGATAAAAATCCCTCTTTCCTTCCTACTGAGGCAATAAGAGGCCATAATTCCTCTCTTGGACACTCATCGTTTCAGGAAATCATTAACTGTAACTCTGACAGCCACAACAGTGACAAGTCAAGTTGCCACAAAACCGTCATTAACAGTCCCCTGAACTGCAACATACGAAACAAGAGACATTCCAACAAATGCTTTGGAACAATAATTTTGATGTAGAAATAACAAAACTATCACTTCCCTTAAATCAATTGAAAGCACATTTTTAAATGTTTCCTATCGGCAGGCACCAAACTAAGTCAGGTTCAAGACTATATTTTCAAAACTTCCCCGATAAAGCCTTTAATGTGATGGCACTTCCTTTGGTTCCAATTAGACATCGTAAGAGTTTACATTGGCTTTCAACAGATCTAGCTGTGGTCAAAGAAAGATGGTTCACTTTGTCTTGTTTCATGCAGAGTTCCCCAGCCTCTCGCTCTGCATTTTACATCCCAAACACCTGTCTGTTAAAATATATTGCACAAAGACAAATTTAAGAATAAATCCCACTATTACACTGCTTTTACCATCTTCCAGATCCCTATTTGCTCTCCAGGTGCCAGGGAACTACAAGTAACATCCTGTCTGCTTTGTAAAACTCCCCAGTGCTGAAAGCATGTTAGCTGAGCCATTGAGAAACTCAGATTATTGCATCAGAGGCCACATTTAGTCTTGTGGTAAGTGCTTTCTTTCCTCAGATTAGTGGACATTATACTCAAAATTCCTGGTGTATTTTCAATGACTTAAAAGAACTACTTGACTGCATATTTAGTTCCACAAACTTTTCCAACACAAAGAACAACAAGATATATTTAGGCATTGGACACAGAAAAACGGCCTCCACAAAACCATTTATAGAAGATACTAACAAAATAAGTTAATTTTCTAATTCCCAAACCAAGCTAACAAAATGAATCCATTTAATCTTACCTGGAAATTTGGTGCCCAGCATAAAGCAGCAGTGCAGTCAAAAAGTACAGGTAAAGCTGAACCAGGTGTTGCCTTGGTAAAGTTAGCAACACAACACTTAAGATGTAACCTGCAACAAAAAGCAGACATTGATATTTCAAAAAATACTATCTAACCCCAATTTTCTTAAAATATGAACTAACGCTCAAAACTATTCAGATCTCTAACACCTTTGTTTTCATTTGGCTTAAATTTCACTTACCTACATTTTCCTCTCATCAAAACACAAAGCACACAAAATACCTTCCCCTTTTTCCTTCTTTCTCCATGACCAGAAACAGCTTTACCAGCTTCTGTAAGATCACATCTACATGTCAAGAAGGGGACTTGATCCACAGTATTTTAACATGACAATGAACATAACCTGTACAACAAAGAGAAAACAGGCCTAGGTCTCCACCTTCTTCCAAGTGAAAGCAACTTTCAGTGCAGCGGGGAAAAAAGCCTATCCAATCATAAAATTCAGTCCATTGATGTAAAATAACCTTTTCCTCAAACACAGGACACACAGAACACTTTTCCATGCTGATTAGCATGACACATTTTAATTCTTCCACTCTATGGCTTGCAGACTCTTTGCATGTCCATAATTTGAGATGGGGACACACGGCCTGTACCTCATACATCACTGCTGCATAAATCAAGGACAAGAATTGGCACAGGCTAGGATTTGTAGGCATTTATACCAGCAGTTCCTGCACTTCTTGTTAGCATTTAGTGAGACTGTGGAAAAACACATGATGTGGATACAGCTTTACTCTGACCATGGCTGCTCAGCAGACTCTCCAACAAGCAGCACACTGATTTTTTATCATGCCTGCTCTCATTTGGATACTCAAAGCAGTACTTTGAAGTCCACTTCCTAACTGGATGGTACATGTCCACACTCTTCTCTTTCCCAGACAGGCTGCAGGTCAAAACCCCAGCACATGGTGCCTTTACTAATCTTTATTTCCGAGCTCTCCATCACAATGCAGTGCCCTCATGCTGCGTCTGAAGGTCAGCTCAAGTGCCTGGCACTGAAATCCATTTAGGAAAACAACCCAGCAACAGCCAAGAACTCCCCTGAAGCTAAGAACAGAATGCTATAGAAGAACTCACTCTGACCCTTACAGCTACACTAGTCATGTTACATTTACAGTTTCATCCATCTATGCAGCAACATGAGGCACAGTCTTTTTTCCTGAATTAATTTATACCTTGAGCTTTTTAAATAATGCAACTCTAGATTAAGCACTCATGAGCAGTGACATAACCAGCTACTATAAAGTAGCTTGGGAACACAGCATGTTCGAATATTTGAAAAAGATACTATGTCAGAGTCAGTATTTATGCAGAAGTACTTGAAGGCTGCTTAGTACCTGCCATGTTCAATAAGCCACCTCTGTAAAATTCTACCAACAGTTTGGTCTTCAAAAAAGTATCTCGCAAGATGCTCCTAGAAAAGGCATCAGGCCCACAGGATGCCAAGAAGAGGTCAATTCAGGTAAGACAGATGACAGGAGTGACGATAAGACAGACAAAGCCTATTTACTTACCTTTTTTAAATACCAATATATAATTCATGTACTTAACATTAAAGATAATTTTTCGAGTACCTTCATGAAGTGGATATGACAAGTTGCACATTTGTCTGAGGATGTGCCTTTTCAAAAGCTGAAATAATTGATAGTTTCTTTTATTACAATGAATTATCATACAAGTCACTAGTTTCTGTACAGTATCACTTTGACCAGAGGGCTGGAGCACCTCTCCTTTGGAGACAGGCTGAGACAGCTGGAGCTGTTCAGCCTGGAGAACAGAAGACTCTGGGAAGGCCTCACTGTAGCCTTTCAGCATTTAAAGGGGGATTATAAGAAAGATGGGGACAGACTTTATAACAGTACCAGTAGTGATAAGACCAGGAGTATTGGTTCTAAACTAAAAAAGGGTCGATTTAGATGAGATACAAGAAAGAACTGAGTGTGGTGAAACACTGGAACAAGTTGACCAGAAAGGTTGTGGACGTCCCATGCCTAGAAATATTCAAGGTCAAGCTGGAGGGGTTCTGAGCAAGCTGATCAGCTGCAGATGTCCCTGCACTCATTGCAAGGGGGTTGGACCTTTAAAGGTCCCTCCCAACCCAAACCATTCTATGGTTGTATAATTTTTATTTTAAGCTTTTTTAAGGGGGCTTGAAATACAGCACTACAGGTTTCCTTCTAGCAACTGTTTTATACAGAGCAGATGTTCTACATCATCCATTTTCTTAGCAAACACCTGTATTTTATGGAATTCCCGTTCTTTGTTCAGCACTTTTCATCTACCAAATACACAAATGACAAGAGCAGGAACTCCTCAGCAGTCTCCATGAAGACATTTAACAAGCCTGCACCACACCACAGCCTCATGAGCTGGATCCAGGACCTCTCACACCATCCCCTGACATTCTTCCACCTCATCTCTGCTGCATTCACTCCCTTCCCTTGATTCCTTACTGAGGGACAATTCTCCTGCGAAACAACCCACAGCCATTTATCATTCCAGCACGTGAGTCAAATCTCTCTAAACCTTTCCTTCTCACTGTAGCCCATGACTCACCTTCAGGTGAAGAACTAAGTGGAGTTTATTATGCAGTCTTTTATTCTTCAATTATTCTATAAATAGTCTTAGAACACCTGTTTACTGTATCTGTATTTAAGCTCTGCCATTTTCTTTACCTTATTCTACCACATGAAAGTCTGCTTCTTGGCCACATGATGATGTATCTGAGTGATGGCAGGATCATTTCTGTAAGACATTTTAGAGGGCAGCAACTGCACTCTAACACAGACAAGTTAGATGAAAGGATTTTAGAGGTCACTGAAGTTCATTCGTCTCTACATGGTCACAACTTTAACCAAAATAGTTAGGATCCTTCAGGATAGACTGAAGGAGTAAAAAAAAAAAAAAAAGATAAAGTCTAAATACAAATCAGAAGATGAGAAGACGACAGTCACTGTGCCTTCTAACCAGCTTCCAGACAGCACAGATGCTCATAACACTGTGCAGGGAAGCAGCACAAGACAACCAAGGTTACTGCAGAAGCCTGAGCAATGAACTCCACCACTCACAAGTTTGGGCTGGAATTTAAATGTTCCCTTTGAAGCAGCCATTTGGTCTAATTGTTAGATTTTGAAGAGGGGGAGAGCAATAGACATTTGCAGTAGTCCCCATTCACTCTTATTTACAATTCCCTCCTGTGACTTGATAAGAGGGAGATTTCAACACACTTCATACTGCAATATTTGCATTTTTACTGCAGAGGCCCTATTCCCAAAGTGGTACCAACCTCATTTTTATCGACAACGCCTCTGCCAAAAAAAAGGCAAATAATTCATTACCAAACCATCTCATTGCAGAAGAAAAGGAAGACAAGCTGAAATTCAGTAATATTCTATTCCCTTTGTTCTCACCCAGACAAATGATGTAATTAGTATATGGCGTAAACAAGATTCCACTTAAAAAAAAAAAAAAAGGACCAGGAAATGAAATTTCTCACAGCAGCTTTCTCATCCACCTCCTCTGTCAGAAGAAATCCTGATGCTAAGAACGTATATCCCTTTGGAGAGAGTCCCCCCACACAAGGATTTACAGATTGAGAAACAGTCATTTTGCTGGGCAGCCTTTAGACATGGGTTAAAAGTAACTAAAGCTCACTTCCATCCAAAGCTTTCTGAGCTCTGTGTCTGCAGTGAGCACTCTGCTCCCTCGATTTAGGCTGTGCTATTTTTGCCCTTGGGACTTGGTGTATTGTCTCTTTTAACTCACCGAGTACATCTCTGCTTCAGGGTAAGCAGCAAGCTCAGAGAAGCAGAGTTCCTGCCTCAGTAAAGAAATGGGTTTAACACATGTTAAAAAAAGAGAAAAGACAAGACAGAATAATCTCTTTCCTGAATACAGTCATAGTGCCCTGGTGCCAGGCCACCAAGAAAGAGACTTACACCTTTAGGTTTCCAGCTCTAAGGAGCACTACAGAAGACATACTCAGCCAACCTTAAAAATACACAGATCTCCCACTCAGTTCCTATTCAGAAGCACGAGGACACAGAGAACTTCTACTGCCTCTTGTGAAAGATGGTGCAGATTTAGGCCCCACCAGAGAAAATAAACTGTGAAAATAATACTAAGCAGAAAAGCAAAGTTAAACCTTGCTGGACAAGAATGCATGCATTAACTGGCTCACAACCTCATTTACAACTTGTTGATTCAGCTCAATGAAAACCTCTGGCTGTGCAATGTTCATTGTTACTGTGAGCAGCAGCTCACACATTGCCTTTCAGCAATCTCCCTCCACTTGTGCACCACCAAGGTGTTTCCCAGCTTCTCTCACCTAAATTACCTCTTTGCCGACTCAGGAGTCTGAGGTTTATTGACTGCACACAGCAGAGGCTTCTGGAGCATGATCAAAGTCGCAACTCATCCTCTTTATTAAACACTTTAGTGCTCATTTGCATGATTACAGATCCCTTGCGTCCACTTCACATGATTACTCAAAAGTTTCCTGCACATTTAGTCTAAAAATGAGAACTTTGCACATCAAAGAGTTTATAACATTTCTTAATAAAACCACACCAACTCTTGCAGTGCCAGAAAGTAAGAGCACAATTAATTGGATTCTACTGGAAAAGAATTTGGGGGGCCCTAACTTCCCACTTGCTCATATCCAGTGAGGATAAAGGGTCCATCTCATCATGACTTGCACAGTCATGCTGCTGTGAAGCAGCGAATCTTGAGCCACAGACAGCACCACAACATCCATCTCTCCTGGCTCAACACAGGATCAGTGCACTGCTGAGTTAGTCACTTCATTTCGGCCAAATCCTTCACTGTCCCCATTTCAGTTTATTCAGATTGGCCACAACGTGAAAGTACCACGACACACTTCTGAAAGTGTGGAGCTGGCAGAAGTAATATAACAACAGCCAGCACCTTTATTTTCAGTGTGTCTAATTTTCAGGATAATCAATCACCAAACTGGTTACACCACAATTTACACAGAGATTTAATAAACTGTCAATGTCCACATCATCTGTCTCAAGAGTGGATGAT